GAAGATGCAGTATAAGTGTCACTGTCCAAGTCTTTTCTTCATGAGCTGCTTTGAGGATGCAGATGTTTTACTGTTGGATGCTTTGAACCCACTGACACATTCTCACTGGTGCGGGGACGAAGATGTCACAAGTTTCTTGTGCTTTGGGGGGCTCACGTGAAGGATCTTATTGAGATTACGGGCTGGGATTGATGTGACCAGTTGTGTAAACGTTTAAGGCTACTGGTTGTTTACCTCGTCTTTGTTCGTTGAACTGGTCATCTGGCGCTTTATTTTTGCCTCGTCTTTTATTTCTCCCACTTCTGAAATAGACGTGAGAATCTATATAACAGACTGACTCAGCACAGTAGTGTAGTCATTCCACTTTGTATAAAATGCATTTTTATTTTCATTTGTCAAATGAAAATAAAAATGCATTTTATTTTATGTCAAATGAGAAAATTAATTTCACATTAATACAGCAGCAGGCTTTAGCCAAATTACCATTTGGCTCCTGTAGTCATGTCAGCAGTTTGTGGTTTAGGCCCTGTAGTGCATAACGGCCACGCAGGAAACCAGGAGACACAGCAAACACAGCTCCCAGATACTGTAAGTGTCCGATCTACTGCTGCGCGACACTTTGTGTAGACCAGGGGTGTCCAGCTCCAGGCCTCGAGGTCTCCTGCAGGCTTTAGATGTCCTTGATCCAACACAGCTGATTTAAACGGCTAAATGACCTCGTCAACATGTCTTGAAGGTCTCCAGAGGCCTGGTCATGAACTCATCTAAACCCTGCAGGACACCGGCCGGTGTCCAGCAGCTAGATCATCCCATCATTTTAAGGCTGCTTTACTCTAGAGCCAGTAAAACTGAGTCTTATTCTCGTTGACATGGAGTATGTGAGCATTCCAGTTTAGTCTTTCTGGCCACCCTATAAATTTAAGCTAAAATCATTGTAATGAGATCTTAGTCTCTCTTGATTAATCCTCAGGCTGTGGTGTCGTCACCGGCCTGTGGTCAGTCTCAATTTGTTCCGGGAGCAACTAATAATGTTTATTCATATAGTTTACTGTAACTGCTGTTATTTTTTGTTTGGGGTTATTCAAATAAGTGAAATTGGAGGCAGATGCTCCAAAAAAATGAGGCAAAAGTGAAAAGCTGTGGACATGTGTGCAGGTCCTCAGAGGAACCGCCACATTCTTAAAAACTCCACTTTGGTCGATGGTGTTGGATTTCAAACAGTTGCAACTTTAATGCAACGTTAATGCATTATAGATTGTTTTATGTGCCTAAAGGTGTATTTTGTAGGAAAAGTGTATTTTATCTCGAGAATAATTGCCATCACATGGTCATGCTGCACTTTTTAAAAACATTTCACGAACCGTGTGAAACTTTAACATCCGAGGAAACGTCGTCACTGCGTTTAGCTTTTTAAGTTCAAGAGGGTCGAAAATGGGTCGTTTCATAACTTTATCAGCGT